TTTATCATATATATATATATATATATATTACGCATTTCAACCATACCAATTACGAAAAATTCCAGAAATTTTCGTAATCGCCTGCACGAGTTAGTAGCTCTACTAGCGCGGGACCAGCGGGGTTCCTCCTATTCACCAGGGGCGGGTGGGCTCCGGCACCTACTCTTCCGGCATGTGTACGCTATCATACATATATATAGGAGGAGGTCACTACCACCACCACCACCGCAGCGCGCGGTCGGGTGGTTAATTAACGAAGCATTATTAACGAAGCATATATAAATTCGATTCGATTCGACGGCGCCCGCATATCTTACCGTTCTTCTTCTCCTGCTGTCCGGCGCTGTGCGGACTGCCGCCGGCCTGCATCATGGAGCCGATGCCGTGCGGACACAGCGGGTCTCTGCTCATGAGTCCGTCAATGCTGAAGCCGAAGCCGTGACCTTGCGGCGGCAGTCCGTACGGCAGGTTCGTCGGATGGATGCTGAGTCCCATCAGATGCGAGGCGTAGGGCGAAAAACCGGACATCACGCCGCGTAAACCCGGATTGAAATTCGGTTCGAGCATGACGTCTTCGAACGGCGGCGGGGTGTGTGTGTGTAGGTATAGGTAAGAAACACGCGCACATATATACACGCGCACACGCGGTGGCTGCGTCTCGGGATGTGCCTGAGCGGGCGTCGAGCGCGCAGCGTGTTTAAAACAAGCTTAGTCTACTGTGAACACAATTCAATATAGGTGTACTTAACGCCGCGCGCCGCCGACCAATCAGCGCGCGGCGTTCGAGTCGCGGTGGGCGGAGCCTTGGCGAAAATCGTGTTTGCCCATTAACTGTTGAGTGCTCACATTTGTGATTATTAATAAAGTAAAGATAATTGAATAAATAAAGGAATAATGCAAATATATGAGCAGCTTATGTTGACGAATTCAATTAATTGGTTTCCCATTGGATGCTGAATGGTCTAATTGAGAACGAATTATTACTCAACAAAGGACATCATTACTAGTACATGTAGGTGCATAGCGTGAAAGCGAGATACGTGTTGTAGAATGCAGTAGCGAAGATGGTCGCACATAATTACTATCACATACACACACACACAAACACACACACACACACACACACACACACACACACACACGCACGCACGCACGCACGCACGCACGCACGCACGCACGCACGCACGCACGCACGCAAGTCGTCCCGGCACGGCACAGGGCTCGGCACGCACAACCGACCGCTACACCAACGCACGGGGACAACACACACATACAGCACATCACACAGGCACAAAACACACCACCACACACACCACACATATATATTACTTTTTATTATATTTATTATTTATTATATTAATTATATATAATTGAAATGTGACAGCACAGTGTGTGTAGTCGTCATGTGTGTGTGTGCGTGTGATGTGTGGTTGTTGTTAGCTGTGTGTGGTGTGGTGTGTTGTCATATGATGCGATGAAATGATGTTGTGTGTGTGTGTGTGAATGTGTGCTGTGTATGGTATGTATGTGTGGTGTGTGGTGTGTGTTTGTGTGTGTGTGTGTGTGTGTGTGTGTGTGTGTGCGTTGTGTGTTGTGTGTGGTGGTCTCTGCTGTCTATGTATAGCCTATATCACTAGCCCACATATTAGACAATCATAACGGTTGCCAATTGACTATCGGTCTTCCCTTAATACTAATGAAAAAATCTGTCCATACCTCTTCCTCTCTCCTCGTCTTCTCTCGCTCTCCGACTCAATCTCTCCTCATCCTCTTCTCTCGGCTCTCTCTCGGCTCCTCGCTGCTCTCTCCTCTCTCCTCTCGCTCGGGAGTGCGATTCCATTCTCTAGCTCTATGGTGTAATTAGAGTGACATAGTAGAGATAGTGATGGAACTGGAGAGGATGGGAGCAATGTAATGTGTATAGGGCCGGAGAATCTAGAGGGGCATGACTACTCTAGACAGTAGGAGAGACAGAGAGTCGTTTATTTCATTCAACATTTATCATAAATATATATATATATTACTACTCAATATAGCTACCCCTGTATACCCTACTGCTCATACACCGATTCGAAGGGACTGAGTATGGCGCACGGGCAGTAGCCTGCGTGCAGAGGTCATTATCTAAATAAATCGCCAGCCACGGGTCTTCTCATCTTCTCGTCATGTCGTACTTCTACTATTGTCTCTCTCCTCCTTTCTTTCTCCTCTTTCTTCTCGGACTCATTATCTCTTCTCAGATAAGTCCCAACTGCAAACCAACCAATTACAGCAACACACAGCACATCACACGGCAATTTTCGGAGGGACGCACACGCACACTTACACTCCAAGCGACGTCACACACACGCGGGCGCCCACGTACAACAGCAATTAATAAATAAATTAAAGTATATATAATATAATATATATAATATATATTTAAGTACGGTCGGACGGAAAATTTTATTTTTTCATGACCAAATATAGCGACACGCGCGTTTCGCGGTTTTCCCGTATTTGCCACCTTCCAACAATAACAGACCGAGCCGACTGTAAGATGTCGACGCGCTGCAAATGAAATCAGCCCTGACTTTTTGACGCCGGCGCATCCCCCGAACGATGCTCGCTTACTGCCAGCCGAATTAGCATAACGTAATTGGTTTATGAAGCTAATTTTATCGCTCTCGTGATCGCCTGATGGCTGAGTCACGTTGCCGATCCATTAAGTTGTTTCTGGCCGCACGGTCGACGAGACAGCGACAGTCGCAGACGCCGTGTAGGGGAACAGAGTTGGCTTTATTTTTCTCGTCCTCGCTGGCGCTAATTGATTTGGATTCGGACGCGGTATTGTTGTAAACGTGATGCGAAATCTATCGTTGTTTCAGATGCGACGTCGCGCGGTGTCCTGTCACGCTGCGAACAGCTGGACACGAGAGCACGAGATTCGTGGTGGTGTGTGGTTGTTGCATATACGGTCGGTGCATGCATGCATGGGCGTGCACTTGCTGTCGTAATTGTTGTCGCTGTGAATATTGGCAGTGGTCGTGTGGTTTGTGGAACTTCTCGGTTGATTTTACTGTTGTCGCCTTCGGCATCTTGTTGTCGTTATTATTAATATTATTATTATTATTATTGTTGTTGTTGTTAATATTATTATTGTTGTTGTTATTATTATTGTTGTTGTTGTTGTTGTTGTTGTTGTTGTTGTTGTTATTGTTGTTGTTGTTATTGATGCTGCTGCTGCTGCTGCTGATGATGATGATGATGATGTTGTTGTTTAAATTGTCATTATTAATATTATTATTGTTGTTGGTGTTAATCGTATTAACATAAACAAGTGATACTGTTGTCGATGGTAACGATGCTGCTTTCGTCATTTCCGATGCTTTGTCATATTTCTCGACCTTCGCACCGCCACGTCTCCGCTAGCAGTTCCTATCCAGCTTTGTTCTCTGCAGTGTCCGGCTGTGGCGCAGCCAAGCTGGCGAGGCTGCTAAGTTAATAGCGGCTGAACCTACGGTCTGCCGCGTTCAATCAGGGAACCTAATCATATGGTCGTACGTGTCAGATTTTTCCGCCCGTGTGCGTCCTTTCACTTCCCATTAATATACAATAACCGACGTGTAATAGATACACGAGTGTATAAATGGGATGAAGATCCGAGCGAGATATCCATCTGTTGCGCTGTTTGTGATACCGATCAAGCAAATAATTTTATTGATGATGTGTAGAAGAACAACGAGGCTGCGTCACGCACAGCAGTACACGAGTGGAGCGGAGAGGGTAGGGAGGAGAGGGGAGGAGAGGAGAGGAGGAGACGGGAGGAGAGAGGAGGAAAGATAGGGACGGGTGGAGTTGGAAGGGGGGGAGGAGAAGGACGGGTGGAGCGAGGAGGGTAGGCAGGAGAGGGGGCGGGAAGATGAAGGGGAGGAAGGAGAGAGACGGATGGAGCGGAGAGGATAGGGTAGAGGGGAAGCGGGGAGAGAAGAGATGAGAAAAGAGAGGTACGGGTAGAACGGGAAGACACGGCGGGAAAAGGCGGAAGGGAAAGCGGCGGGACTAGAAAAAGCAGAGAGAATAGGGCAGGAGTGGAAGTGGGTACTACAACGAGGAAAGACGGAGAAAGAGTAGCGAGACGTGTCTATAATAATGAAATACTACCGATGTACATTTCGAAGCGAAAACAAAAATTATATAAATGTAAACTCTAAATGGAAACGAACGATCTCGCCGCTAAAAGGAGCGCTCTCCTGATCTTTTCACAGACGCCAAGCCACCGCCGTTGCTTATAGAGAGGCGTGCGGACGCAGGGAAAGAGAATGAGGCGAGGCGGCAGCGTCCCCCCCCCCAGCTGATACCGTGATCGAATCCCACAACCACGATCGAGCCCATGCACTGTGTGCACTGGGTGTGGCCTCCCGCTCGTGGGAACGGGGTGTTTTGTTTGCGCGAGGGTAATGACTCAAGCGTACGATGTTGGACAGGGTGGCAGCCGGCACGGATGTTGGTGAGCATGCGCAGAACACCGCCGTAAAACCCTCTCGCATCAGTTGCTCGCATATGTCAATACTACTACCACAACTACCGAAAATTGCGACTCGATCGCTCGTCCCCTGTTTTTTGTTACCCACCAAAAAAGATTACTTTAAACTAAAACGCAAAAAGATTTTCATTACTCCCTATCGCTTGGACCGCTACTGATCCCGCGGACGAAAAACCGAGCGTCCATTTTACGGAGCACGATACGTTTGCTGATCGTACGGCGAGACAGTGTCCTCTATACAGCGCAGCGTCGGCCGTATCTCCGACTTCGTATCGCCGCCGTTCTCCGAACATCAGAGAATCATAATGTAGACGAGATCCTCTCGCCGAGAGCACTAAGCGCTCATCAGGGGACTGATAATGATCCAATTATTAGAAATTTAAATTGAAAGCGCACGAATTAGCATAATTTACGGAGTCGCATCGCATCGTTGGTGCGTCCCGCCGGGAGCTGGTGGCTTCGCTTTGATTGCTTCTGCGCTCTATCTGTTGTACATTTTAGAATTTAATTAGATAGTTATCGTGGTTGATAGTATTAATAACGATTTGTTATAATAACAACACATTGTTAATGTATATA